ACTAGCTTGGGCAATTTAGGGAGACACTATCTCAAAAAGTAAAAAGGGCTCAGGGTATAACTCAATGGTATAATCCCCTGGGTTCAATCCCCAATTTAAAAAAAAAAAGATTCTTAATTTTGTGGTTTCATAACTTGCTAATTATAGTAATGGTTCAGAAGAAAAAGGTTAAGGACAGTTGCCTAGAGGAGGTGATATTTTCTGGATGCATTGTAAGACAGCGCTTCTCTGGCATTGGCATATCATTGTATCAGGAGAAAAAGTGCCAGAACACAGTACAGAGGCCTGAATGGAGCATTGAGAAATCTCAAGGACAGATAACATTTGAGCAGCTTCTTAAAGGAATCAAAGTTTCAACTCCTTACAAACTTTAAGGGGAAAAAAGACCTTTAAGTTTGTAAGGAGCTGAAACTTTGATTCCTTCAAACCAGGGATTGTTCCTAGGGGCACTTAACCACTAAGCCACATCCCTAGCCCTTTTGATTTTTTATTTTGAGACAGGTTATTTTGAAACCTCACTGAGTTTCTTAGGACCTCGCTAAATTGCTGAGGCGGGCCTCAAACTTGTGATTCTCCTGCTTCGGCCTCCCCAGTCACTGGGATTACAAGTGTGCACCACCACACCTGGGTTAAAGGACTTTTAAAACACCTTTAAACTTGGTTTTCGTGTTTTATTTGGAAATGATTTCAAACTTACAGAAAATTTGCAACAGTAGAACTTCACTATGTCTTTAAAATCAGGGAATTTAACATGATACTTTTTCTAATTAGCAGACTTTATTCAATTTTCACCAGTTATCCTAATGTCCTTTATAGCAATTGTGATTTTCCTGATCTAGAGCCAGCGATCCAGGATCATTGAAGACATTTGTTTATCTTTAGTCTTCTCTAGTCAGAAATAGTTCCTTATATTTTGTCCTGAATAACATTTTTTACTTTGAAGCAAATAGGTAATTTATTGAAGAATATTTCTCAATTTGGGTTTGTCAGTTGCCTCATGGTAAGATTTAGGTTATACATTTTGGGTGAAAATTCACAGAAACAATGTTGCATTCCTCTAAGGTCATCATATTAAGAGCATGTGGTTGTGAGTTTGTACCATTATTGGTGCTGCCGACCTGAATCATTTGGTAAAGGTGATGTCTTGGGTAAAGTGGTTTTGCCAGACTTCTCCACTGTAAAGGTTTTTTCTGAGCAGAGGCAACATATGGTAGAGGTACAGCTGTGGAAAACAGCATGGCATCCTCAAGGACTAACAAATAGTTTTCTGCAGCAAGGGAGTAGCATTTATGGCCAGAGGTGAGGATGAAGAGCCCCATAGGAACCAGATCACAGACAGTCTTGAATGCCACGCTGAGGAACTTAGGCTTTTAGCCCCTACACCAGAGAAAGCCACCAACATGTTTTGAGCAGGGATTGGATGTTTTGTGTCACATTTCTGGTTTCTGGGTTTGGTTGGTTGCTAAAATCTTAACTGAAATTTCAGCTCTGTCAGTTCTTTACGAGTAATCTAGAGTAAGTCTCTACCTCACTGAGCTCTACTTCCTCATCTCTAAAAGACATGGATAATAGTAAAAATGTGTACCTTCCAAGGTGGTTGTGATGATCAAATGAAATAACATATACACAACTATGAGCTGTAATATAATGCAGGGTTTTGTTTTAACAGAGGCATTATGACACATTGAATTTTTTCCCATACTTCAGATTTCTGCATGCCATTTTGATGAATTTTATCATCTTTACCTTATCTTCTCCTTTAAATACACTTTAAAAAAATAAAAGTTGAATGAAAAAAATCAGTATTTTAAATACACATTAGAATAAAAGAGTTTATGTACCACATAGAAGTATGTTATATTTCTCCAGTAGGACACATAAATGTTATATGAAATAATGGTAATGGAAAGAAGACTGGTCTTAGAGTTTTATAGTCTGCGTTTCAACATTGATTCTGATGTTTATTTTCTATCTCTCTCCTTGAAGAAAATTCTTCATTTCTTTGGGCCTAACATTGAGCTCTTTAGTGGGAGCAATGCTAATATTCTCCTCATGAGTTTTAGTACCTAATACATAGCACATGTCCATCATATGTGAATTTTCCTTGTTTCAGTTGGGGTTTAGGGAGGACATAAACTTTCCAGTTTCAGAATAAGAAATGGCAAGATATAAGACTTTAGGATCTGTGGTCCTTTAAACAAAATAAAAGTTAAGCATATTGAGTTCCTTCCTCAACCTCCAGGACAGTGAGTGTGAGATGTCTTCTAAAAGATATTCAGCGTTGCACCATTCAGTGTTAGGTCTTTGATTTATAGCTGTAAGCTGATAGACATGTGAGATGTCAGTATAAGAAGTGACTAAAGTTATCATTGACCCTGGCATAGCAGAGAAGGAATTTTAAGGATTCGTAGAACTCACAATTAGGTCTAAAGCGAGCTCCCAGGCAACAGCTTGCATACGTCTAACTTAATATAGACTATGTATGTTTCTTACTCCATATTCACAGCAGACTTGTAAAGCTGACTTTATTGCCTTGGTTTTGTAGATGAAGATATTAAGACTTTTACAAAGTAAAGAATGGAACCTTGGGGGCTGGGGCTGGGGCTCAGCAATAGCGCACTTGCCTGGCATGTGTGGGGCACTGGCACTGGGTTAGATTCTTAGCACTGCATATAAATAAATAAAATAAAAGGTCTATCAACTAAAAATAATATTAAAAAATAAATAAAAAACAGGGCCTGGGGTTGTGGCTCAGAGGTAGAGTGCTCGCCTACCATGCCTGAGGCACTGGGTTCGATCCTCAGCACCACATAAAAATAAAGTGAAGATATTGTGTGTCTACCTGTAACTAAAAAATAAATATTAAAAAAAAAAAAAGGAATCTTGGTTTGCTTATCTCCTTTGTTCAGAGAAAAAAAGGCTGGGGAGAGGGAGAGTCATTACCACTATTTTGTACTTATTTTAACTGTACTATTTTATGTAACATGACAAGTACTAGTATCCCCTCTTTACTCTTCAATAAACTTCAGAGGGGTAAAGAAATTTGTAATTACACAGATTGGGCAGAAACAGGATTTGGACCCAAACTTGTCTAATTCTGAAATGTAAAATCTGAGGACATCAAGGATGATGTCTACTTTAAGGAAAATGAACTTTCCATCAGAAACTGAGTGTTATGTTTACAGCTCTCACTATTTGCGGCAATCAGCCTTTCCCCAAGGACTTCCTAGATTCCTTATGTGCTTTTTTGTTTGTTTTTGTTGCAAGTGTATTATGGCAAAGCTTGCTCTCACATAATGGCATTAGTATATCCTCTGTCATTAGCATTACCTCTTTAAAGCCACCCAAGACAGTGATCATCACAAAGATTTTTCAAAAATACCAGTGTGACCACATCACTCCCTTGCATCTCTGCCCGTCCCCAGGCTCCTCAGCTGAAGTCCATATCCTTAACCTGACATTCTAGGCTCTTGATGACCTGGCCTCTCTTGGCCTCTCCATCCTTATTTTGCTACTTTTCCTTCACATACCACCTTCACCCCTCCAGTGTCTTATCCAGATCTAACCACCTGGAAGTTCCTAGAAAGAGCAGTCCATTCTTAGTTTTGACTTAAAGCGTTTCCCTTTTTTTGGTGTTGGGCGAGGATTGAATTCAGGGGCACTCAATCACTGAGCCACGTTCCCAACCCTATTTTTGTATTTTATTTAGAGACAGGATCTCACTGAGTTGCTTAGTACCTCGCTTTTGCTGAGGCTGGTTTTGAACTCTGGATCCTCCTACCTCAGCCTCCCAAGCCGCTGGGATTATAAGCTTGCACCACCATGCCTGGCTTGACTTGAAGCTTTTCTATACTCTGTTCAGTCAACCCGGAGCACACTTTTCCTGCTTGCCTAAATCCTCCTCGTCTTTTAAGACTTAGTTCAGAAGTTGTCTTTTCCAGAAAGCTTTGCCTAACGATCAGGGTCCTACTTTAATTTCTAATCAGGTCTTCCTTCGTGTGTCCCCATTTTTTTTTTTTTTAGAGAGAGAGAGAATTTTAATATTTATTTTTTAGTTTTAGTTTTCAGCGGACACAATATCTTTGTTTGTATGTGGTGCTGAGGATCGAACCCGGGCCGCACGCATGCCAGGCGAGCGCGCTACCATTTGAGCCACATCCCCAGCCCCGTGTGTTCCCATTTTAAGTGGTTCATTAACACTGATGACGATAGTACTAGTAGTAGTTGTTCTTAGTGTGGCTAGTACTATTTAAAGGATGTTTTGTATAGTTGGAAAATGCTAAGCAAGCTCCTACAACCACAAAGGAGCTCTACTTACTACCTTTGTGCCAGTGAGTTCAAAATTCCAATTCTATTAAAAAAAAAAAAAAAAAAAACTTTTTTCCTGATCCTACCAGACCTAAACTTAGGTTAGGAATAAAAAATATTTTATTTAAAAATATAAATATTCTCAGCCAGGTTTGGTGGTTCAGGCCTATAATCCCAGCAGCTTTAGAGGCTGAGGCAGGAGGATTGTGAGTTCAAAGCCAGCCTCAGCAATTTATTGAAATCCTGTCTGTAAATAAAATAAAAAAAAGGACTGGGGATGTGGCTCAGTGGTTAATTGCCCCTGGGTTTAATCCCTGGTATGAAGAATAAATGAGCAAACAAACAAACTGTTCTCTCTCACCTGGAATTTACCAAAGCCTTAAGATGCATTATCCTGGTGGGATTTATGTAACTGTGGACTAATTAACAATGCTCTTACTTTTGTTAGATTGTATTGAATGTATACAGTGTGTGCAGTATATTCCTGGTGTCCTGGGGGCCCCAAAGTATCCCCTACCTATAAGGTTGCCTACAAGAACAGAAAAGAGTATGTGCTTTGGGTCCAAAAACATCTGTGTTTTAATCTTGGCTTCACCAATTACTACCTTGCTACTTTGGGCCATGTAAATTCTCTTTTTAAGTTTAGACTTGTGAGCATGCTTCTGACTACTTTAACTTATGTTTCCTTCCAGCTATCAGAGAAGATGGCATGCCTGGAGGCAGGAATAAGAGCATTGGGCCAGTCCAGGTGAGTTCTAGGCCCTACTCTCTTGTTTTGTCCTAGAAGGCCTGGGCTCCATATGCTCCTGTAGCTGCTCACTTTAGACCTCTCATTTGCAAGATACTTTGCTGTTCATTTCATCTAAAGATTATCAGCAGAATGTTCATTACCTTATTAATAGAGTAATACTGCTTTCAATCTCACAAACATTTGCTAAGTTCCTACTTTGCCAAGTTGGTGGGTTTTGGGGTTCCCCCCCACTTTTATTGAAGCTAGGGATCAAATACATGCTATACATGCTAGGCAAGCATGCTACCACTGAGATACATCCCCTGCTCCCTGTCAGGCTCTATACTATGAACTCTGTCTAATGGGAGAGACAGAGATGTAAACAGACAACATAGTATCATAAGATTTAACAGAGAATGCCCCCTTCACTCCATGGGCCTAATGATCCAGCCCAGGGCAGGGCTTCTCTTTCCTTTGGGCTGGAACCTTGGTTGAGACTGGAGGCACTTGGGGAAAGCTTCCTTGAGAAGGCAAATTTGAACTCAGTCTTGAAAGAGGAGGAAGAATTAGCTGTGTTGGGGAAGGGTGGGAAGCTAAACGTTTTTAATTTGTCCTAGACTGTGAAAAGACCCAAAGATGAACGTTTTAAGGAATGACAAAGAATTTGTTCAGTGAGGCTGTAGCATTCAGCTCATGTAATAGAGTGGCAGGAGATAGGCAGATTACTTGAATTTGGAGTCAGTTCTTTAAAAAGTGGCCTTTGTCTGTCTTTGACTGTATGAACTAAGAATTTTTGGTGTGAGCCAAGAGCAAGCTACTAAAAGAGTTTAAATGTGGGTGAATGGGGCGTACTCAGATTCTCATTTTAGAAAAAAAATTTTTTTTTCATTTGTTTGTTTGGCAGTACTAGTGATTGAACCCAGAGCCTTATACATGCTAGGTAAGCGCTCTAGAAAAATCATTCTAACAGTGGAAATTTCCGGTTTGTGAGGAGTGGAACTAGAGTAAATAAAACTAAGAAAGAGAAAGCAGGGGGATGTGGCTCAAGCGGTAGCGCGCTTGCCTGGCATGCGTGCTGCCCTGGTTCGAGCCTCAGCACCGCATACAAACAAAAATGTTGTGTCTGCCAAAAAATAAGTAAATATTAAAAAATAAAAAAAAAAAAGAAAGAGAAAGCAGTGTAAAGGGTTTTACAGAAGTCCACTCCAAGAGATATAGGTAATAGTTTGCAGTAGAGTAATGACAGTGAATTTTGAGAGGAGGGAACAGATTCAAGAGATAATTAATTGATGGTATTTCTCCAATTAAATGTGAACAAATGAAGAAAGTCAGGCACACACTTATGTATGGGAGATTTCCTATTACATGAACTAGGTACACAGTATGTACTCAATCAGGGTGTATGTGTTTGTGTGTCCATATAAGATCCCCAAGCCAGGCACAGTGGTGCATGCCTATAATCCCAGCAGCTCAGGAGGATGAGACGGGAGGATCACAAGTTCAAAAGCAATAGCGAGGTGATAAGCAACTCAGTGAGACCCTGTCTCTAAATAAAATACAAAATGAGGTCAGGGATGTGGCTCAGTGGCCAAATGCCCATCCATGGGTTCAATCCCTGGTATCCGGAAAAAAAAAATAATGACCCCCAGAATTGTTGTGTCTTTTTTTTTTTTTTTAAATGGTGCTGGGGTTTGAATCCAGGGCCCTGTGTGTACAAGCATGTGTTCTTTTTGTAAAATAATTTTTATTATTATTTTTCAAGTCAAATTTTGTGAGTTAATCTATTTCAATCTGGACTAGTAGTTGCTTTTTTTTTTTTTTTTAATGGTAAAAGATATACAGGTAGTGCACACCTATAATGCTTGGGAGGTTAAGGCAAGAGGACCACAAGCTCAAGGCCAACTGGGCAACTTAACAAGATCCTGATTAAAAATAAGAATTTTTTAAAAAAGTATAGCTCAGTGACAAAAACATATAACATGAGTTCTACTTTGAAAACTTTTTTTCCCTTTGCAGCGCTAGGGATTGAACCAAGGGCACGCTTAGGCATGCTAAGCAAGCACTCTGCCATTGAATTACATTCAGCTCTTTTTGTTTTATTTTGAGACAGGGTCTTGCTGTGTTGCCCAAGCTAGCCTCAAACTTGGGGTCCTCCTGCATTTACAGGCATGAGCCACTACACCCAACTACCTTGACAAATTTTCAAGTGTCCAGTTCTTGACTATATGCATATTGTTACATAGCATGTCTCTAGAACTTTTTCATCTTGCACAACTGAACTCTATACAGTAACACTAACAGCAGCTCCCCAGCTCCCGACCCCCAGCCCCTGGCAAACACCATTCTACTTACGTTTCTAAGAATTTGACTACTTTAGATGCCTCATAAAGTAGAATCATGAAATATTTGACCCATAGCTTATTTTATTTAGCATAACATTCTCAAGGTTCATCCTTGTAGCATATATAATAGGAACTCCTTCCTTTTTTAAGACTTTGTGTGTTTATAGAACATTTTCTTTATCCTTTCCTCCATTATTGCACATTTAGGTTGTTTCTACCTCTTGGCTATTTTGAATAATTTTGCAGTGAACATGGAAGTGCAGATATCTCTAGGAGATTCTGATTTCAGTTCTTTTGGGCAAATACCCAGAAGTGGGGTTTCTGGATCATATGGAAGTTCTGTTTTAAGAATCTTAAAACCTTAAGGTTTTAAGGAACCTCCATACTGTTTTTCATAGCAGCTGTACAATTTATATTCCCACCCACAGTGCACAAATCTATCCAACTCAAACCTGTGTAATTCTTTGCTTTAGCATCCTGTAAGAGAACCATGAGCTACAGGGAGGTAATGTTGTTTTCATTTTTCAGATGAGGGGACTGAGGCTCAGAGAGCTTGAGTAACTTACCCTAAAGCACCCAGCTAGGAAATGAGGAAATTTGAACCCACTCTCAATATGTTCTGTTTTCTATTCTGTGTATCACTGATTGCCCAGTATCCCATTGGTGCACAGGGAGAGAGACAGGTTCAGCCCCCAGCTGAAGTAAGCTGACTTCACCAGGACCCTTTTCACCCAGCCAAAGTTTTTCTGGCTCTTCAAGCTCTGGTCTAGCTCTCACCACAATCACTGATGCTACAAAAAAAAGGGGGGTGGGGGAGTTAGAGTTCTGAGAACGCCTGAAGAGAAAAGACAGACATATTTTATTTCTTCTTTTTTTTTTCTTTTTTTCTTTTTAAACTATATACAACTCCTACTGAATTAAAAAAAAAAAAATCCTTCCAATGTAGTATGTAATCCAAAGGATTTCAAACCAACCTTTCAATGTATGTACCAGTTAAACCTTTTCTTATTCAAGCCCTGTGTGCTAGCTGTCTTCCAATTCTGAATGTTTCTGTATTTATAGAGGTAACTCAGGGTTCTCTTAGAGGCTGGTGGAGCAAAGAAGTATGCAGATTTGAGTCAGACAGGTTTCAAAGAAAATGTCCTCCCAGGTTTCCATAGGAACAACACATAAAAAGTCATCTGGCCCCACCTCCTTAGTACTCTCCTTCTGTGTACTGAATGTAGCCAGTTAGACCTCAACTCTAGGTGAAAGACTTTATAGAAGAAGTGTATTTACTCTCTATATGGTAGTAGCTAGAGCACTGGACTGAATACTTGCATACTCCGACCTCTTCCTCAAACTCTGCCCAGATGTAGGCATACAGTGTGACTTTGTTTAAGTCAGTTCACTATGTGAGCTGCCATTTCTTCTTTTACTTAATAGGATTAGAAATGTATCTCCTATTGGGGAAAAAATGTATTTCCTATTCACACATAGGCAGTATTTAATAAATGGAACATTGTGTGTGTATTTAACATACATTTACTAAGTACTTCTTCTTTTCTAGGTCCTTTCATGGCCTTAGGTCTTTAGAGGATACTTTTATATGATACCATAGTGCTATAAAAATAACAATGACACTTGGGCACAGTGGCACACACCTGTATTCTTAGCTACTTGGGAGGCTGCACAGGAAGATTGCTTGAGCCTGGGAGTTTGAGACCAACCTGGGCAACATAGCAAGACCCTGTCTAAAAAAACATTAAAAGTAAAGATGAAGATGGGCATAGTGGTGCACATCTGTAATCCCAGTGGCTCTGGAGGCTGAGATAGGAGAATCATGAGTTCAAAGCCAGCCTCAGAAATGGTAAACTTCTTTTTTAATGTTTTTTTTTTTTTTTATGAACACAATAACTATTTTTTTTAATGTGGTGCTGAGGATCAAACCCAGTACTTCACACGTGCTAGGCAAGTTCTCTATCACTGAGCTACAACCCCAGCCCCTTGAACTGACTCTTAAAAGGAGATTGTCATTGAGTTAGGAAAGCGTAGACTCGAGGACAAAGAGGAGTGTCAAGGAACACATAGACTGTGTGATATGAGAGCAGGTTAAGTGGGCAAGGGGAAGGCTCTGATGAACTGTGTTTGGTGCTGGGCAGTATGCAGTCAAGCTGTCATAAGATTGGGGGAGACCTGGAGTATGAGGTGGAAGAGAGGGAACCTGGGAATCCAATGAGATTTAAATAAGCTCTGAGTCCTGAAAGACAAACAGAGGGTATCTTAAGCACCGAATCTAACATATATTCATTCCTTGTCAAAGATATCAGAAGAAGAGATCGAAAGGATCATGTCTGGACAGGAATTTGAGGAAGAAGCCAATCACTGGAGCAACCATGGTGACAGCGACCACAGTTCCCCCGGGAACAGAGCTTCAGAGAGCAACCAGCCCTCCCCAGGCTCCACATTGTCCTCCAGGTGAGCTTTAAGGCAAACTCAGGATCTCCATCTAGGGTCTACCCAAAGAGTAGAACACAAGAAACCTCTGGCTGAGTATTCCTGCCAGGCTCTCTCAGCCATTGTGCTCTTACTCCCTCAGACTCTGGGGTAGGGGAATGGATTATGCCATGTTTCCCAGCCCATTTTATGCTAAAAACCTTAAAAATGTCAGTGGTCTCTTCTATAGACTAATCACATATGCCCATAAAGTCTTCATCTGGCAGAATAATGTTTAAATATAGTGCTTTTCCTTTATTTACTTAATTTATTTATAATGTGCTAGAGTTCAAATCTCTCATTTTATCATTAAATAAAACAAATCATACTGACAATGTCTAATTGTTGGCCCCGTATGGTGGCACACACCTGTAATCCCAGCAGCTCTGGAAGCTGAAGCAGGAAGATCGTGAGTTCACAGCCAGCCTCAGCAATTTAGCTAGGCCCTAAGCAACTCAGGGAGACCCTGTCTCTAAATAAAATATAAAAAAGGGATGGGATATGGCTCAGTGGTTAAGTATTTCTGGGTTCAATCCCCTGTACACGAAAAAAAAAAAATCAAATTGTTATAATTTCTTTTAATTGCCTCATAAGAATCAATGTTTTTTAGTTTATAAATTTTAAGAAAGAGTTAAGGTGTTGTTTTTTATTTGTTTGTTTGGTGTGTGTGCGTGTGCGTGTGTGTGTGTGTGTGTGTGTGGTGCTGGGGATTGAACACAGGGCCTTGTGCATGCAAGGCAAGCACTCTACCAACTGAGCCTCCCCAGCTCTTGAAAGAGTGAAGGTTTTATAAGCCAGTCAAATTTGCTGCATCAGGGAATACAAATTTAGAGACTCTTGTTTCAAGCATGCTATGTTAAGTTAGTTGTCAGGTGTGAAATAGAACCTTCAGCTTCAGGGAAAGTCTATTTTTCTCCAGAAACCTTTCTTTTAGGACAGGGGTTGACAGACATTATAAAGACTGTATGTATTTCAGACTTTTCAGCCCTAATGATCTGGGTCTCAGCTACTCAACTTTACATTTAAAGTGGGAAAGCAGCCACAGACCACATGTAACCAGTAGGTCTGAATTACTGGTTTACAAAGTCTCATTTACCAAAACAGACCACAGTCTACAGGATGTAGTTTGCCAAACTTGATTATAGAATATATGTCTAGGTAAAAGCTAGAGAATTTTTTTTTTAATTAGTTCAGAAAGTGGTGAGATTTCCCCAAGAAAAGGGAAGCCAGGGATGAATATGAAGTCTTCCTCTTCATATTTAATCATAGTTTTTATTCTAGGATTATTCCTTAGTTTGTTCCTTCCTTTGAATAGTTAGGGGGGGGGTTGCCACATGCCATGTTCCTTGCTTGGTACTGGATTTGTTCTGTGGCCTGACAAGTGGTCTATCTATGCCTTCATTTTCCTAGTGGTAAAATAATGCAAACACCCACATTTGTCATCCTAGTCTCTGAGTATCCATTAAAAACTCTTCAGATGTAGCACCTGTACAAAGAATTCATTCAACTAATATATATTCAGTACCTACTCTGCCAGGCACTTGAGTGTCCAATGGTGAACCCACATTTATGTCTCACAGATGGGAGTCTAGGAGACATGCACATAACCATTAATTATGTCCCCTGGCTTGGTGAGACACAGACCTCATGACCAAAGAACATCTAAGCCACTTGCTGACTTGTTTTCTTTGAGTAGGCACTGGACCTGCCTTGGCTTTGCTTGACTTGAAATTTTTCTCTCCAGTAGGTCTGTGGAACTAAACGGATTCATGACATTCAGGGATCAGTACATGGGGATGTCTGTGCCTCCACATTATCAATACATACCACACCTTTTTAGCTATTCTGGCCACTCACCACTTCTGCCCCCACAAGCTCGCAGCCTTGACCCACAGTCATACAGCCTGATTCACCAACTGATGTCAGCTGAGGACCTGGAACCATTGGGCACACCCATGTTGATCGAAGATGGGTAAGTGAGCTCTGTGCTGCTTGACCCTTGGCAATCTCAGTATGTTCCAACAGTGCACCCACTTGCATCCCTGGCTGGTGTACCAGAGGCTTGAAATGAATGAGGGGTTAATGAGTGATGATTTAAGCATCAGAAGACAAACCTGTACTTATCTTCAAAATCAGTCCTTAAGCATCTTTTCTCATAATAAAGTTGGAGTTACTTTTCTGTCTGTGTGGAATTGGTATGGAAGAGCTTTGTTTCGTCATGGTTAGGTAAACCAGGCCCTAGGACATATCTGAGTGCTTCTGCACAGTAAATTTAGCTATAATTCTGGGGGTAAAAATGTATCATGTGTAGGCTCCTTAGTATTTGGCAGACACAACATCTTTGTCTGTATGTGGTGCTGAGGATCGAACCCGGGCCGCACGCATGCCAGGTGAGCGCGCTACCGCTTGAGCCACATCCCCAGCCCATGTGTAGGCTCCTTAACAAGACATTCAAAGCCCTACCTGATTATGGCCTGTCTGCTGCATCCCTTGCCAGCATACCATGGGTAGCATGTTGCATGTGACCACCTTGGGTGGGCCTAAGTTAATGGAGTAAATCCTCTTAGTCTGCAGTTAGCTTTACTTGAGTAAGTTGTAGTCCAGCCTTCAAACCCATACATTGCTTACCTTTGGGCCTAGAGCATAGGCTGTTTGAGGGTTACCAAGTTTATATCCCCCAAAGATATCCTGAGGTTTTTCTTAAGTTAGTCTCTAGTTTCAGAAGAGACTCAAATATCTACTATCAAGAAGGTCATACAAATCTTTGTATATCTGGATGTGGGGTATGAGAAAGAGGATATTAAGGGAACTTGAGAGGAAGAAACCCGGGACCCCTGAGTCTATGGCCTCAGAAGCCCCCTTTAGGTCACAGCTGAGAAATGCCATGCTCTTTCCATCCAACTATAAGCCTGAAGAAAGGGCTGAGCAGTCAGGTAAAATGGCTCACGCCTCTAATCCCAGCAGCTCAGGAGGCTTAAGTAGGAGGATCTGAGTTCAAAGCCAGCCTCAGCAATTTAGTGAGGCCGTAAGCATCTCAGTGAGACTCTGTCTCTAAATAAAAAGGGGGGCGGGGGCTGGGGATGTGGCTCAAGCGGTAGCGCGCTCGCCTGGCATGCGTGCGGCCAGAGTTCGATCCTCAGCACCACATACAAAAAAAGATGTTGTGTCCGCTGAAAACTAAAAAATAAATATTAAAAAATTATCTCTCTCTCACTTTTAAAAAAATAAATAAAAAATTTTAAAAGGCGGGTAGGGGTCATTGAGAATGTAGCTCAGTGGTTAAGTGCCTCTAGATTCAATCCCTGGTACCAAAGAAAAGAAAAAGAAAGGGCTGAGCAGTTCTAGTTCCTAAACTCTCACCACCAGAGGGTGCAGTGAGATAGGAAAAGCTTTTGGACTCCTTTTGGCTTTGGCTGTCTTGCCCTAAGGCTCATTTTTGTGCTGGTGCCTGAGTTTGGGTGAGCACCAGATCACCCCACTGAAGTTTACGTTGCTAAAAGTGACTAGGAATTTTCTGAGACATAGAACATTAGAGGACACCAATTTGAAAAATCATCCTTCCTGGGGCAGCCCCTCTGAGGGTCCCCTCTTGCCCCTGCAAGAGTCTAATATGAGTTGTATATGTTTCCTTATGCTTGAATAAATTCTACTTTCATTTTGGGGAAAAAATACTATACTCCCTGATAATTGCACAGGTTTCTAAATCTCTTTTCCTCGCAGCAACCTTTTCTCACAAAAACCATTTTTTTGGCCCTGAGCTTGCTTCTGGTCTGTCTTGCCCCTTTATAAGAAAATTGAGTTGAATGATACTAGAGATCTCTGTAGTCAAGGGGAAGGGAGAACTGCCAGGGACACTTTGTACCTTTAAGACTATCCTTTCCCTGGGTCCCTATCCTTCCCCTCTGGCTGATGGAAGTGATTTTCCTGTCCCTGCCCCCAGATATGCTGTGACACAGGCAGAGCTGTTTGCCCTGCTCTGCCGCCTGGCCGATGAGCTGCTCTTTAGGCAGATTGCCTGGATCAAGAAGCTGCCTTTCTTCTGCGAGCTCTCAATCAAGGATTACACGTGCCTCTTGAGCTCTACATGGCAGGAGTTGATCCTGCTATCGTCCCTCACAGTTTACAGCAAACAGATCTTTGGAGAGCTGGCTGATGTTACTGCCAAGTATTCGCCCTCTGATGAAGAATTACACAGGTGAGGCTGCTGGCTGGGGAGGGAATCCCAAGCAACCAAACCCTTCTCATCCCTGCAGGGTAGGGTTGCCTGGCCCTCCAAAGGATGGCATCCAACCATACAGACCTGAGTTTGAATCCTTATTCTGCCACTGACTAGCTTTGTGGTGTTGACTAAGTCTCTGATCCTCAGATTCTGAATTTATAAAATGGAATGATAACAATACCTCCCCAACAAAGTGGTTATAAGAGTAAATGTTGTACAGTCAAACTTAGCAAAAGCTATATTGTTATTTTTGTTATGTCTGGATTAGTGAAATAAAATAATATATCTAGGAATAACAGAAATCTAATCTGCCTACAAGGCAAGAGGGGTTCAGAACTGTAGTTTACAATCCAGGAAAGAAACCTAGAGATCACTTTCGTATCTGTTGTATGCCAGGCACTAGGCTACATATTTCATGTTATTATTTTGTTTCCACAGCCTCCAGCATTATAGGTGTCATTGTGCCTGTTTTATAGGCGAGAAAACTGAAGTTCAGAAAGCCCATACCTTGAAGTGTTTGGTTTTGAATCCAGAGCCTAGATTTGAACTTATAGCCACTTATTGCAAAGCTTAGACTCTTTCATGGCATCAGGGATGCAATGAGATGTCAAAGCATGAGACTAAGGGCCCAAACTGTTTTCTTGGTCATTTTCTGCCAAAAATTTCATCCCAGATAACTCACATCTTCCTGTCTGCTGCTTCCATGGTCTGTCCTAGCACTTTTTTAGTCACTCACTTTAGAGACTTGGGGACATGGTGACTATATTTTCTGACCTCAAAATCAAGACAAATGATTTGTTGAGACAACTTTTTTGGCTTATTAATTTACTAGTATGAAATATGTTATATAGCTTAATTCACATTCAAATAGACACTTCAATAAATCACTTTATTGGACAGATTAAAATAATGGAAGTCATGGGATTTCATGGCATCCAAATGAAAGAAAAGATGAATGAAAATTGAGAAGGTGGAGGACCAGCCCCCATACTTCTCTGCACCTCCCCCAACCATTCACTCATGGCATACAAACAAGGCTGGGGCTTAAGCGGAGAGTCAAGTTCCAAGACCTTCGAGGGCCTTTTGCACAGCTGAGGGAGGGAAGAGTCTGGGTGCTGACCCTCTCCCCTTATTTTCTAATATTTTCTTATTAATGGTGCCTGCTGGCTTCAGGGTGATCTATAAATGACAGAGTGTTGAACTCAACTGACCCTTTATTCTATAAACAGTGCTTTCTAATTTCGCAGATGACCTACACCCTTGTCCAAAGCCTCTTAATTCATCGTTTCCATCAAATTTCTGTCTCTAGCTCCATAACTCTGGGCCGAGGAGATGTTTGTATGGCAGTCAGCCTGTCTCAAGTTTGTCAGTTTGCAGAGCTGGCCCAGGGAGCCCAGCCTCCCTATTTTCCTAGAGTCTACCAGTTCAGCCAGAGGCTGCCTACTGGGCTCAGCTCCCTGTAGAGTGATAGGTTTTCCCAGACCCTTTCTGGATAGGTAGGGATCACAGGCAGTACAGGAGACTCTGACTTTGACCTTCATAAGGTAATTTATCCCACTACAGCCAATCTCTTGAGTCCTAAGACTAAGGCAGGCACCTATTACAGATGAGTTAGTGAGAAAACTTACTTCCTAGAAAAGTTCCTTACTAAGGAGTCTAAAGCTGCACTGTCCAGTATAGTAGCCACTATCCTCCTATGGCTTTTTAAAGTTAATTTAAATTAAAAATCCAGTTTATCATATGCTCGTGTCACATTTCAAGTGCTCAGTAGCCACATGTGGCTAGTGGCTACTATGCTGAATAGTGCAAATATAGTCATTTCCATCATCACAGAAAGTTCTGTTAAGCCGTGCTGACTCTAGAACACATGTTGCTGCTGAGCTTTCAAGGGAGCTCTGAGGATAAGAAATGGATTGTTGTTAGACTTCTTACTCTACTATGGAACCCATCAATGGAAGAGTAAGAGTTAACTTCAACGTGTTAGTTCTGACCCATGGCCATTTACTGAGTATGTGTGTATGTTCAGGAAGGGGTGCTGGGGTCACAGATATTGCAGACAAGGTTTCTGACTCTGAGAAACCATATTCTTGGTTTAGAGGTTTGGGAGGCACATAGAAACAGTCTCCAATGCAGGGTCATATTGGAAGAGACCAAGGAGAATATGAAGGACTGTAGAAACACAGATAGGAATGAGGGCTACTTGTTGAACCAGGGAAGGCTCATCAGAGAAATAGACATTGGAAGGCTGGGGGTGTCCCTCTGGGTAGAGTGTTTGCTTAGCATGTGTGAGGCCCTGGGTTCTAGCCTCAGTACCACAAACAGTAACAATGATAATAGACATTTAAACTGTACCTTGAAGTGCAATATTTCTAAGTTGTACAGAAGAGATGGAAGACAGGAGAATAGCACAAAATTCTAGAAGTTATGCAGGGACCCAAAAGCAGTCCTGTGGATTCAGGGCATAAAGAGAATTATGTGAGAGACAGAAAAATGAAGGGATCAGTGACTGAGGAAAAAATATATAAACGAGACAGTTCAGAAAGGTGCTCGAATGCCAATCGAAAGAATTTGGGTTTGAATGCGGTTTTACATGAAGGAATCACATAGGTTGTATTTTAGAAAGATTTCTGTGGCCATAAAGCTCAGGGTGGATTGGACAAGATGAGGTAGTTGATTAGGAGGCTGTTCCATAGCCAAGTGAAAGAAAACAAGGCCAGGCATACATGGTGGCACAGTGACTTGGGAGGCTGAGGCTGGAGCAAGTTGGAGGCCAGCCTTAGCAACTTAATGAGGCCCTGTTTCAAAAATTAAAAGGGCTGGGTTAGAGCGTCCCTGGGTTCAATCCCAGAACCAAAAAAAAAAGAAAGAAAACAAGACCTGGACAAAGCAACAGTGATGTGGGAGTAGAGAGGGCAGCACAAAGCTAAATGATGTCAAGGAGGTAAAATCAGTGAGACTTCTGTGAGTGAGAAAAGTTGGGGATGACTGCTGGGGTTTTGGATTACCTGGGCCCAAGATAAAGGAGCCTGAGAAGAGCAGGACTGGAGATGAAATGCTCTGATTTGGTTTGGGTGTCTGTGAATCTAAGGTGCATGTTGGACCAGGTCATAGGATATAGAAGTGTGAGAGCCTCTGGAGTCAGGCTAATCACTGTAAAGCATCCCCTCTCTGCTAGAATCCTAGGATGTAGAGTCTAATTGGCCATAGCTCTTTCCTGCCTGTGTTACTCCCACTCCCCCAGATGGCCTTTGCTTCTTCACAACTTTCGAGTGTGAGTACCTACTGTCAGGAATAGCTATTCCCAGATGATGCATGACCACCCCCTTTCTCTTCTCAAATATCCAATCAAATTTATGGTGCCCATATTCCTTAATCAGACTGTTATCAGAGAGTGAGCTGGATGAATTTGATTTAAAGCAGATTGTAGCACCAGCCAGTGACTGCTCCTGGCCCTAATCAACACTCCTTCACTCCTAGGAGAAGATGCCTTGAGCTAGATGGACTTTAATGGGCACTTCTATCTCTTAAGCACTAGCACCATTTTGGCCAAATCTCTGGAAAGTTGCCTCTCAGCTTCCCAGGTTGGACCCTATAGAGCTCAGGAAACACAATCTTTTCTTTATGAGGATGATACTAATACTATTAATAATAGTTAACAAATGTAGAGTTTTTTTATTGTGCCAAATTTCATCTTAAGTGCTTTTGATTTGTTATTTGTTGAGTGTTCACAAATTAGTGTTGAGACTGGACTAATACTATATCTGTTATAGAGATGAGGAACATGAGATTAGTGAGAATTCACACCTGAAAAACTAGAAAGAGGTGGAGTTAAGACTCATCTAGATTTGTTGTACCCCCAAAGCCCAGGCTTTTTACCATTACGCTATACAAATTTTCATTTTTCCAGAGCCTTCTCAAAAGGTTTGACTTTCTGGACTTTGTCCTGGTGCTATAATCTGACTTTTCATCTTGGAGTCTGTATGTGGGTGCTGAGACGGCAATTCCTTGAAGCTTGTAGCTGATGACTGCTCCTGGGAAAAGATGCATTTAGATGAATGGCAAAGAGACAACTGGGCTTCTCCGCCCCTTAATGGGATATAACTTATATAGTGTCAGCTGCAATTGCTGACTGAATGGTCCAATGATTTGGGGGATCCTGGTAGGAGTGTTTTCCTTGTCCTAGCATGCTTGTGTGATAGGAACCTAGAAGAAGAATGGGTGTGTTTGTCCAACTTTATGGCTTTGAATGCTGATAATTTGTAGACAGGGAATACAGGGGCGTTAGAACTGTGGAGTGGGCAGATGTGGAGGAGGCATGGCTACAGGAGGAAGCAGGCCCGTGGAACAGAGAACAACTTTGTTTATCTAGTGGTGGGATGTGGGTGTAGAGGAAAGCTTTGCAGTCGAGTTGAGGAGACAGAGTGGGGGCTGTTGGGCTGGCAGCCAGCCCCCGACCACTGCCAGGGGTCCATGATGGTTGCCTGTTGTAGGAAATTTTGAAAAAGGGATGTACTGTCCCAAGGAGAAAAACAGATCTGGTGCATATGCACAGATCAAGCACTTAGAGCTCCTTTGTGTCTCCCAAGTCAGGATTGAGCCAGGAACAGGTTTGGCACTGCTGGCTAGGCTTCTGGCTGATAGCCACACACCTGCAGATTCTGCAGTGCCAGAATGAGTACTTGGGGCAAGAGGTTGCTGATTAAGGGACAGAGCATTATCTTTACTTGCTACACTACTGAGCCACCAGACAGATGCTGCTCTCCTTACCTCACCTCACCTCATCTAATCCCCAACCACCCTTCAACACAGATTCTTAAGGGAATCAAGCCCCCCTCCCCCTTTTTTCCCTCTCAAGAGCATAAGTAGCCAACAAAGTAGTGTCATGAGGAGTGGACTTCACTTCCAGGCACACTGCTTTCTGTGATCTCGGTATCATGGAGACACCAAATGCCCACCCAGGACTGAACCTGACAGAGTTGGGGGTGAGCGGCAAAGCACTGGGAAAGCTTATAAGCTGGGAATTAGAAGGCCCAGGTTTGAACCTGGGCTCCCCCAGCATGCACTTCTCTGTAACTTTGGGGAAATCACCTCTTTTTCTGCTCCCTCATCCCTAACATAGAAGTGATATTATTTATCCCACAGGCTATCATGTGAGAAACAGGGGCATAGTAAAGAACCTCTCTAAACAAAGGGGATTATGATTAATATATATTTTTTTGAGTTATTAGGAGTGGCCAATGAGATCATGTATGTGCAGTAAAGCACCTAGCAGGTAGCACTTGGCAGAATCTTTACCTATCAGCCAGCCTGGGAAAGTATCAATAATGCTGTAGAAGCCATTGGGCCAGATGAGAAAGAAATTGAGTTAGCCATGATATCTCAAATCAGCAAACTAAGAGAAGCTTAGACTGACTGGGAGCCATGCCATGAGGCAGAGGGGTCAAAGCTCCTGATTGCAGCTACCTATTGCTGTGGCTCCCCCTGGTGCTTGAGAATTGCAGGTACCTCTGGCCCCAACCAGTGCCAGAAAAGAAAAAATATCCTACTTGTCCAGGAAGCCAAAACCTTCAAAATTAACACAAAAATAAGTAGATTCCAGAAAGCAAAAGTGTATTCACAAGTGTCCAGAACACTCGGGATACCAAAATAAGCTCCAGTGCCCAGATCTGAATCAAGAAGCAGCCATGAGGTTGAGTATCATCTCTTTGTAACTGAACTGCATCTAAGGCATGTGTGGGTGGAACTCTCCTTGGCCCACTGTCCAGCCACCCCTAGATTGATTCTGGCCAGTCCTGACCCCAGTTTTTACAAACTTCTGCTTCCCCATTAAGCACTTACCTCCTTAGTTTATTGGTGTCTCCATTTTTGGTATGAAGCATACCCAGAGCATTAGTCCCTGGGGTGGCCTAGCCTGGGCTTCTTTGCCTAAAACTTAATCTTTTCCCCACGATCTCATTTCTGACCCAAAGAAGGGAGCATGGCCAGCTTTGAGCCCTTTCTGTTAGGATATACTGTTGGAAAAACCAAGGCCTCAGGGGATTAGCCAGGTTCCAAGTTCTAATTCTGCCACCAGCTAGCTGTGTGCTGGTGAACCAGTCCCTTCCCTTGTCTGAACTTCAGTTTTCTCATCTGCACAACAGTAATGACTATGTCAGCTAGCTCAAAAAGTTGAAAGAATTAAATGAGAAAATGCACAGAAAGTGCCCAGCACAGAGGTTAGCATGGCATGGAGACTCAGATGTTTTCTTCCCACCCTGGCTGAAGTCAGGTATGCCAACAAAATTTTTCATTGTGCTTAACCTCAACCCTGCTTGAAACAGTGAACCTAAACGAATAAAATTGGCAGTTTTTTCAGCATTGTGGCAGAGGCTCGCATAGAGTCACCATGGCAGCTGCCATTGGTATTGGAGGCTGCATCTCAACAAAAGCAGTATCTCAGTATTGTCCTATCTCTCCACTTTACATCCTAAACCTCCTTTGGCCCTTGGTACCCAAAACCAGCAAGTACTATTATTTTGCAGAGGAAAACCTCAAAGCTTAGACAGGGTCAAATGACTGTCCCAGGGGTGTGTGATGGAGCTGGATTTGAACCTAGATTTGATTGACTCTGCCTGACCTTGGGAATAGCAGCTGGCATGAGAGACCTGTGGATTCCATTTCCCCCAAGCTTATCCTCTTTGCTATTGTAGATACCTTAAGGAGCAAGCTGTAGGAGCCCTCTGTCTGCTTTTTCTGGCCTCCACTGATATCAGAGCCTGTGGGTAAACCCTATGTCTGTTCCCCAGATTTAGTGATGAAGGGATGGAAGTGATTGAGCGGCTCATCTATCTGTATCACAAGTTCCATCAGCTAAAGGTTAGCAATGAGGAATACGCGTGCATGAAAGCAATTAACTTTCTAAACCAAGGTAAGTAGCTGGGAGAGAGGCAGTGGGATTTCCCCCCCTCCCCCACCCGTGAGCATTTAACCTCTGTTTCACTCCCTCCCCTTCCTTCAGGACTGTCACAGAAGCTCTCATACCATGTGGCTACCAGTTTTAAAGGCCTGCACTCCCCCTTGTCATCATCCTACCCCTTTACAGTGCAAGGAATGCTTTGTATTTTTTCTTGAAATCTAAATGCCACAATCTCTATAACTCATAGAGGAAGGGAGAGGATTCACTTTGTTTAGTCAGTTTTAATGCATTTAAACACAGACACCAAGGACAGTACATGCGTCATTTAAAATATGTGCTAGTTTACCAGCGACTAAAGAAGAGCAGAGTGACTGATGAAACTACTGGAGATAAGGCCTCTGTGACAGGCTGGCAGTGGTTCTGATACCTCTTCAGGGAAGAGTAGTGATGCACAAAAACTCAGCACATGCATATCAAGCATGGTTTTTAATTAAAAGAGTGGATGTGATTTACGTGGAGCATTACCTGCAATGTGGCACTTGGTAGCTGCTGGTAACCAGCATATAAAGGAGAATTTGTGTTCTTTTATCCAAAGTAAAATAAGTGCTCTGCTCCCAGAGTGGAATTGGGTGATTTTGGTGCCTGTGGCACTGAAAGTGCTCTCTTCCTGTGCTGTTTCCCAGCTTAGATAGAGACTCTTGATTTCCTCCTCATTGTTCAGTCTCCCCCTCATGCTGGCCAGACCTCCTTCTGCGGCTTCTGCACCATTCATGCATGTATTTGGTGCTCTGCATGCCTCCCGTAGGCCAAACCCTGTGCTGAGCATTAAAGGCATCGACAAACATTAGACCCCCAGGTTCCTCCAGAAACATGCACTCTACTGGCACTTGACACATAAATTGTGCCTCAAATGGGGGAAATCAGTAGCAGCTTCTTGGGGGAGGAGAAATTTGAGGTGGGCCTCAAAGGCTGGGAGGGTAAGGTTTATATAGAAAATATTAATACATATTCTATATATAATATGTATTAATATATTATCTGTATTAATATTATATATGACATATAATTAATATTAATATTAATGTTATATATCATGTATAATTAATAATTGCATTACATATAATATTAATATAGAGGATATATAAATACATAATAGTCTACATATAGAATATATATATTAAAATATTCTATATATAGAATATTACATATATTCTATGTATATTCTTTATATATAGAAAAAGGATTTTATGTGTGTTGATTGATTAGATAGGAAGGAAGGATGGACAGACAATAGCCCAGGTAGAATAGTGAGAGAGACATTAGAGATCTCATGCATGTGTTTGTGTGTGTGTGTCTGTCTGTCTGTCTGTCTGTGTGTGTTACATACACCAACATATAGGTATCCCCAAGATTGGCTCCAAAGATGAGAAAATTCAGAGATATCATGAAGGATAAATTTGAAAAATTTCAAATTTATGTTCATCATTCATGATGCCTGTTTTGTAGTACACCCTGTGCTGGGAGCTGAGTATGAAGTTGAGAAAGACACAGCTTAGCCCTCAAAAGATTCAATCTAGTACTATTCTTTATGTTATTTTTTACTTCTCTTCCCTTATCCAGAACTTATTTCCTCCATATCAAAAAGGGAAAAGAGCCCCTGTTGTGACAGTGTTTAATAATTTTTAATTGAGGGATGTACATATTAAAGAAGCTATTATTTTTCCTCATTAGAAAACCCTTCCCATTCCTCGTGTGTGTGTTTTGTTTTGTTTTTCTACAGATATCAGGGGTCTGACCAGTGCTTCACAGCTGGAACAATTGAACAAGCGATATTGGTACATTTGCCAGGATTTCACTGAATATAAATATACACATCAGCCAAACCGCTTTCCTGATCTCATGATGTGTTTACCCGAGATTCGATACATTGCAGGTAATGTTCTAGGTCCTGGGCCCCCAACCCTTCCTTGCGTGTCTTAGCTTGTGTAGGATACAAGATTATAAGTGTTTTCTGGATGCTTATTCCAGGCTCATTACAACCTGTGTAAAAGAGTTACTACCCTTGCTCTCAGAAAAATTCTGTTGTAGTAAGAAGTTTTTGTCTTCTTTGTAGAGAAGCTCTCGTTTCAGGAGCTCCTATGATGTGCAAGGTACTTATGGCCTTATTACCATTTAAATTTAGAACAATTTCTGCAAGGTTGATTTGGTATGGTCCTTCTGTGGATAGGAAAACATGCTTGGAGTATTGGAGTATCTTAAATTAACTTCATTTCCCAAATTGTTTATTTTAAGAGAGTAAATTTTATGAGAATTATATCTCAGTTTAAAAACAAAAAAACAAACAAGAAAAAACCTTATGTCATAGGATTACCTATGGGCTTTCCAGGGTCATTTAAAGTGGTGTCTTTAAAATTCTGTTTGCAAAGGAATTTTGTGTATTGGGATATGTGTTTGTGTGTGGTCTTGACCCCCACTCCACTTCTTGACATTTAATAGGTCCACTTCCATGCATAATCTTGGCTTTTTTGTTGTTGTTGCTTTAATTCATTTAGTAAGGGTTCATATTTCTAGCTGTCCAGCATGTACTGAGGAGCAGCTTAAAAATGTGATCTCTAGATTGTGATTATTCCTACAAAATTCAGCAGTACAGTTTTTGAAGGAAAAAACTTCAGTCTGTCAAAGGAGGATTTTTTATTTGTTTCCTACTTTTTGGGTCACAGAGCAATGTAGCAGATATAAGCTGGACCTGGCAGCATTTAAAAAATGGACATAGTTATCTCAGCTAGGAAGCTTTAAAAAAATGTCAGTGTTTGGGTTGCACCTTCAGACTTTTTGGTTTAATTGGTATGGGGTGGAACCTGGGTATCAGTGTTATTTAAATGCTCCCCAGGTGACCTGGGTTACTGTCTGGAAGAAGAACCACAGGCTTAATTTACCTTAGTTTACAGAGTATATTAGCATGCTAAACGCTCTAAGAAGCCCTGCAATAAAAAGCCTGTAAAATTCTTTTAACCCCGAATTTCTCAAGGTTCTTTGCCCCTACAATCCCTCTCCTTTCTCCTCTGTACTTTTAGTAACCTATTTGCTATTCTGAAAAGCATTATTTTGTAGAATAACTAGATTCTACAAGGGAAAAAAGAAAAAGGGATAGGTACTTTAGCTGAAAGAGGGCTAGATAGGACCACCTTTCGTTTCAGATTCTTCATGTATAAAATGAGAATGGAAAGTGTTTATTACACAGAAATATGGTGAAATTAAATGAGATAATGCATTTAACACCTAGCACAGTAAGTATTCCCTGGGCAGAATGATTATGAGTCTTCTGAGGGCACCAAAATGAGTCGATAGCAGAGTGGTTCTCTGCATCTGGCCTTTGCCATACTACTGGCACTTCCCTTGCCCATCACTTACTCAGGTGATATTCCCCCTTCAGCTGCCCAAGAGAAAGCAGGTGCCCTCTTCTACTAGTGGCCATTGCTAACTCCTCTTCTCCTACCTTTCCCCAGGAAAGATGGTGAATGTACCCCTGGAACAGCTGCCCCTCCTCTTTAAGGTGGTGCTGCACTCCTGCAAGACAAGTGTGGTCAAGGAATGACCTGTTCCCTGCACCAGCCACAGCGCCTTGGATAGGCAGGACAGGCTCCAGAGGAAAGAGCCAGAGAGACCAACATGGAGGCTGTGCAGCTGTTGTTTCTATTGCAGGAAGAGTTTTTTGTTTGTTTGTCTGTTATTTTAACCTCATTTTTCTATATATTTATTTCACGACAGAGTTGAATGTATGGCCTTCAACATGATGCACATGCTTTTGTGTGAATGCAGCAGATGCATTTCCTTGCAGTTTACAGAATGTGAAGATGTTTAATGTTACAGTGTTGTCCTTGTATAGAGATAGTTCTTTTGTATTTTGAGGGAGAGGGCAGGGTGGCTGAGATGACTATGTCCATAGTGTTGACGAAGACGACTACCTCAATGGAAATGGGGGTGTGACCATCCCTACTTTTTCCACATTTTCTCACAGACTTATACATTTGTCTGTCAGAGAGCAAACTGCCTTTTTCTAGCCACAGACTTGTCAGGTAAAGAGTGCACCAAAGTGGTGCTGGGAGAAGTACTCATTGAGATGGGTGAGATGCAGGAGATGAGGATTAAGCCATCTCATTTCTTTGAAAAATATGAAAGTTGAGAGTAGGCACAGTGACCACATCTAAAGCAGATGTCTTCCCACCCAAGAAGTCCTGAGGGCAGAAGACTGTCTGTCCTTACATCCTGCTGCCCCCTCCCATCACTATCAAGTTTCTGCCACTGTCAACTTTTCATCCAGGCAAAGTCCCAGCAATAAGTCAATCCATAGGACTTGCCTACCAGCTCCCTTGGGCCTTACAGCTACCTAATTTCCTTATGTGGATCTGCTAAGGCCTGTCTTCATCAATCTCCTTCCCTCTCCCATATAAATTTGACTTCCTGTCAGCCCTTTGAAAAGCTGACTGAGCAGAATGGCAGGTTTTCAATACTGATGCCCACTACTCATTTTTTATTATTATTTTCTTCAAAGGATAGTGGGATAAAGGCCAGGCTGCTGAATGAATAAATACTCCTTCTTTGGAATCCCCTGTTCCTCTCTCCACCCTACCCTACCCTCATGACTGAATCAAAAAAGTATAGTCTCTTTTTTAAATAATGGAAAGGATCATTCGCCTATCTGCTGATCAGAAATTTTTGCTCCTAAGTTTTATTCCAAGTTCTCTTAATCTCCCCAAAGTGAGGCCAAATTTTCCCAGCGTCCCAGAACAAAAAGCCCAGAGTAGCCCCGCTTACCCCTTAGGTTGCCTGCTGACCAGGGCTTGAAGGGCTGGAGCCAAAAGCATCTGGAATGAAAGGGGTGGGGCCCTACACTACCTCATGTTTCTAAGGGTCTGGCTGCTACCTCAGCAGATATGGCCTAGACCCCTTTATTTTGCTACCTGCCCTACCTAATTCCAGGACATTTTTCTTGCCTCTTTTAACTTTTGGGCAGACATCAGGTCTGTCTTGGAGCTCCTTCAGGAGTTTTTCCCTTCTCTGCCTTAATACAGTGGCTGCTCCTGCCCACAACCAGGCACCTTCTTTTATAGCTAGTGCATCCTTGGGTGGGCTTGAGGGGCCCATAGGACCTCCTTCTGCCTTCTGTTTGATCAAAGGCTGTTGCTCTCCCCCAACTCAGCCTAGTAAACCTACCCAGGGGGCTGTGACATCTTGTGCATACTGAGTTGTCTGGGTTTGATTGTAATATTTTCTTTCTGACAAAATATTACGGGTATCAACAGAGTGATGATTTTTATCCTTTGATGGATCTAAAATTCAGAGCATTATTTCTCAGTTCTATTTCCCTAACTGCTCTGAGAAAGAAAGAAAAGACATATCCCTCAGGAAAAGCTTCAACTAGCATATTTTTCATATAGCAATGGGAAGATTTGTGTGTGTTGTGTTTGTTTCTGTTTTTTTTTTTTTTTTTTTTGTAAGTTCACAGTATTTTTCTTGTTTTCCTGAATTCTTTATTTAACCAACTAGACCATATTCTTTGGCTACAGGTCAGATTCCGGGCTGCCTTCCTCAAGATGAGGAGACACATATCAGAGACCCTTCTCTAAGACAGCTCCTGTGTGCAGCATCTTTCATGGCTTAGACCTCCATCTGTCAGATTATTATTTTTTAAATTGCTGTTAAAATTAAGCATTTTACCTATTCTGTTGGGTGTCAAAGGAAATTGCTCTTTGATGAGGCAAGAACATCTCTCTCCAATAATGTAGTATTAAACAGAGCAAGTTGTTAATTTGTGGAGTGGGGGAAAGGTTCTGCAAGTTGCCATTGTATAAATCCATTTTTACAAATGTTTGCAGCAGATTCCACAGAACAAAGAGCCCATTCATTGCCGAGAGCCCTGCAGAATCTCTGAGCCAAGTGGCTGTGTGTTCCGAGCCGGAGCCTGACCTGTGGCCCGCCTTTAATGTCTTCTGCACCCAGTCCTTTTATGACGTGGGCTTCTTCTAAACAGGGTAAAGTGAATGTGTTGCATTGCAAACTCAGGTATTATGAGGAGAAGGTAGGAGTGTAGCTAGCTGTGGAGACATTAGGTCAGCCACTAGATGTATTTGTGAATTTGGTTTGAAGGACACAGAGAAAGGTTGGAGGGGGAGGTTTGGTATGTTTGTTTTTTGCCTTTCTTCCCATAATGTTTGGTTAACAGGCAGCCTTTTTGCTAGTGGAAGAAGAAAAAAGTTGTACATGCTGTCTCTGATTCCTCTGTCTTCTGTCCTTTCTCTGATCCCAGCCACCAAAAGCACTCATTTTGAGTGAGAATTTTCCCACCATAAAAATGTGACCCAGAAAGCTGTGTGGAAAGGAGAATCCCACCTCCTTGCACTGTGTGGAAACATGCAAGCTTTTTCCTTCTTTTCCTTTTGAACATTTTCTTGACCCAAAACAAAAGTTTGGAATTTTAGAGCTTCATCTGTAATTCATGCTGTCCAGCTCCCTTTGCAGATTTTTGGAGTTCTTTGCAAAGTTTAGTGGTCTTTCCCTTAATCTGGAGAATTCCCCCAAACCTGTCTAAAAGCACTCCACCTGGTTTAGAGGGCTCCCCACCCTGTGCACAGCCCACAAGTGAGGTGGGCAGGCCTCCAGGGATAGAGGGAAACAGGCAGGAACCTCCCTATTCTGATACCCAGAACCTTAGCAGGGATGGGGGAACTTAGGGATCTCCATGGCATCACTGGAAGTCATCCATTCCACACCAGCCTGCTTCTGACCTTCCCCCACTTATCAGGGGAGTGAGTGCCTGCCATGGGCAGCATCACCAGATCCTTAAAACTCTGGCCTCTCTGGGTTGGCTGCCTTGCTTTGCTATACCCATTCTCCATAATTGTTTATTCTTGATTTCCTGGGAAATGGAGAGATGGAGATAGACAACCTGGTATGGGAAATATCTAAGCCATGACCAAGGTTGGCCAGAATAAAGGGACCCTGGTCTGCCAACAGGAAGTTGAGCTGTGATTCCAAGTCTTTAGTTTTGGGCCTCTGATCTATGTGTTTTATCCTTGTTGCTTTTTAAATTTTTGCAATTGTTTTAAGAAATCCAGTCTTTCAGATCATCTCTTTTTTTAAACTTGAAATTTTTCTTTATTAACTTTTTTAAAGTTTAAAAAAAAAAAAACTGAATTTAAAAAAAAAAAAAAAAAAACACTACTCTTACCCCCCCACACACCTGGATCCACAAGGGTACCCCCACACTCCCTTCTGCCTCCACAGTTGATCATTCTCCCTTTTTCCTCAGCTGGAAGCATCTATGTCCAGCATCTATGAAATGATGTTTTATCTGTGTCTCAGGATGAGAAACGGCAATCATCCCACCAGGTGCTGGAAACTGGTGAGCCTTGAGGCAAGGGTTTCTAGGGCCATAGCTCAGGGATGTGTATTTAATTACAGGGTCCCCAGAAACCCCTGTCTTGGCTGCCACAAGCAACATCTTCTCTTCTGGGCTTGGGATCCAGGCCTGGACTGTTTTCTCAGAGGCAGGGGCCCCCAGAGAGCCTGCTGAGTGTGAGCAAGCTGGGGCTTCCTCTTTGGCCAGGCCTGGCCTACCTTGAGACTTGAAGATTTCTGACTGTCCTGCGACATGAGCCACAATGGCCCTGCCTTTACCAGCAAATAAACCTGGCCCCTTTGTTTAGACCTCCCTCTTCCAGGCCTGCAGCCCTCAGAAGTCAGCTGTAGGCTTGAGAGGGAGCTAGGAGGAAAGCCAGAGCCTGCTCCAAGCCTAAGAAAAATGTCATGATCCTAATGGACACTAGTCCTCCAAATCCTGGAGCCAGCCCTTGCCGGCCAAAGGATCCTCTTTGTCCTTTGATGACCATTGTTTTCTTTGCTGAATGTCTTATAATAGGTGATAATATTGTTGACCAAATTTCCATGGAAAAAAAAAGAAAAACTACCTCTTGTGACATCCTGGTCGATTCCTCTCAGAGGAATCCTGTGGGAAAAGAATATTGTCGCTGTTTACATGTTTCTATCGGGGGAAAAAAAAACCCGCCTGCCCTGGGGTATTGGTGTTTTTGTCTGTGTTGCCATCCCAGGCCTGTGATAGGGGCTGTGGCTGCATTGTAATGTCTGGGCTGTGTCTGGGGAGTCCTTCCCACCTGCCCGGCTAGGGCCAAGCCACCCCTTGAAGAGGCCTCCATCTCTTTCTTGGGCTCCAAGGCATAGGGAGCATCACCTCCCACAAACACCACCTTCAGGGGCTTTGATGGCACCTGCATCATGAGCCTAACCCAGGCAACCTACCCTGGAACCACTTCCACCTGCAGTCCTGTGTAGGAATCGAGTAAATGGGATGTCTCTGAGCCCTTGTTCCCAAAGGGCCGGCCAAGGGCTGCCTGCCAGCTTGGCTCCATCAACCCTGCATGACCAAATGATAGTTGGCGGGCTCTGCAGGCTATTCAGGCCCTCTGCTACCTCCCACACTTGCCTGCTGGCAAGGGATGGGCCCTGTTCTGTGAATTGACTACCTGTGGAAATGTGACCAATTAGTGTGAAATGCATGTTTAGCAAGTGTTAGGTACTGTATTTGAACCAATAAATGTGAATCCTTCTGCACATGGCATCTGTCTAAGAAGCTTGTTTGGGGCTCTGGGGAGGGATGGTGGGTGCCCTGAGGTGAGGACTCAGGCCTTCAGACCTGGTTCTCCTGCTTATGCCAATATCCACCCCATTGCTACTGCCAAGAGCCCAGCAGAGGATGCTGTCAGAATTGCTTGAACCAGTGGACCTGTACAGACGGATGAATCTGCTATGTGCCAGGCACTGCCTTAGGACCTTGCACAAACCTAAGCCTCCTTGAACTCTTATTTTATAAATGAAGAAACTCAGATTGAGAATGGTGAAGGGACTCAACTAAGGTCACCTATCCAGAAAATGGCACAACTGGAGAAACCAAGTCTAGTGGAAGAAGCATATGGAATTTTGAGGCACAGTGAAAAAAGGATTGTAATTCAGGACCTATGTGGGGTAGAAAGGGCACAGAGAAATAGTGACTTATTCTACTGGGAAATCTCAGGAAGGGTTTCCCAGGTGAGTATTGTTGAAGGAAGCCCCCAAAGCAAGTCACTAGGCACAGAGAGGAAAATAGACCAGGTAGAGAGATCAGCAGCATGTTCAAAGGCCAAGTTGTGAATCAGACATGAAGTATTCAGGTATAGCAAGGGACTGCCACGGCAGAAGTGGGGTGGGGGCTTAGCTGGGGCTGCAGAAGCAGCAGTCAGCCTAGAGTGCCACACAAAGGAATTTGAATCTTCTGGGTCTTTGGAAAGAGCCACATCTCAGTGACAGACAGTAATGTGCTGGTTGTGTGGCCTGCCTCGTGTGTTGTTGTGTCCTAGCAAATGAATACCTGTCTTTCCAGAAAATGGGTCAGGTCTCTTTCTTGGTTTTGGAACTGGGGATTGAACCTGTGGGGGTGGGGGAGACTCTAACACTGAACTATACCCCCAGCCCCTTTTATATTGAAACCGGCTCCTGCTAAGTCATCCTGGCTGGCCTCAAAATTGTGATCCTCCCGCATCACTGGGATTATAGGCATGTGCCATAGTAGACAAAGATTCTTGTTAGCGTTTCAAGAGCTGAGCAAATGGTGGCTCTAAGAGGTCAAGGGACACTGCCAGAGTCTCACAGGAAGTATCAGAATCAGGCCTTGAGCCTAGATCTCTACAACTCAAAAGCCTAGCTGTTCTTTGAGCCTGCTCACATGCTCAGAGTTTGGGTTGAGGGCTTTGTGGAGACAGGTGAGAGGAAGGAAGGTCTGGGGGGATGAAGACTAAGGAGAGTCTTATCAAAGTTCATCAAATCCTCTGTGTGAACTGGGGCCTGCCAGCTGCCTTCCATGCCTTGGCTGCAGCACAAGAGACCAGAGAGCCCTTGAGGCTTGAAAGAGGTGGTTTCAAACAAAGGAACTGCTCCAGAAGGAGTTAATGGGCTGTCTTCTCTGCCCACAAACTAAACAGACACAGAGGTGCAAGGAGGAGAAGGAGCCCTGACTGCTGCCTAGTGAGAATAGGTCCTTTAGCTGGTGCCTCACTGGCATGGTCTCATGAAGTCCTCAGGATACTTAAGGAGGCAGAGGTCTTAGCCTCACTTTACTCTGAAGCAAACTCAGGCTTAAGAAAGATAAGCCATTTGCCTAAAATGACACATGACACATGGGCAGAATTCTCTTTTTGAATACAGGTCGATCTGATACCAAAGTTACAACTACTTCCTCCCTGCTCCGCCTTAGCAGTTAAATAGTGCTGAATATGAATGTCTGGAGTTTGTAACAAAGCTCAGGAATGGCCTTTGGTTGAACTTTTTGCTATTTAAAAAAAAAAAAAACTCCATTAAACCATTAAAGAATTAATTCTGTGAAAAGTGTCTTGTCCCCAACACCCCAAATACAGGTTGAACACTGCAGACACTAAGTCTTATGATTTCTCAGAATGTAGACATCCCCTGAGGTGGCCCGGTTGACAAAGAACAAGTTCTGTTGCCAAAAATGTAGGCTATGCTGTTCTCTATTTTCTTCCCAGTAATTCCCAACTGTCCTTGGCATATTAAAGGCTCTGAGAAGTCCTACTAGAAGAAAATTTTGTTTAGCACAGGTACTGCCAAAAGTATGTGAGCATTAGACATTTTCCTCCCGTTGAAATTCAGTTGAGACAGTGTTCCATGGAATAAAATTTAGGATGCTGCTCCACATTTAAAAATTGCTACTTAGGTAACACTGAGCTTTTGGTTTTCTGGAGTGCTAGGCAATAATCTGGAAATAAATAGTAGTAAAGCAGGGCTGGGGTGTGGCTCAAGTGACAGTGGTGCTTAGCATGCTGAGGCTCTGGGTTCCATCCCCAGCACCAAAATAATAAGTAATGAACATAGAGCAAGGCACTGTGACAATGTTTTATGTGGATTAGATTAGTAATTCTCCAAAGCAACTTGACAAGGTTGATGCTGTAATGATCCCAATTTACGGAAAAGAAAACTGAGGCCCAAAGCACAGTGATTTGCCTAAGGTTACATAATTAGTGAGACCTCAGGAGTGACTCAAAACCAGCACTGATTGAGTATGTGCTTCCTTTTAGCAGAATCTGCGCTGAGAGCTTTCTAGGCAAATGCAGCTGCGTAACCAAAGAAATGGAATGCTGACATTCAGAGAGCACTCTGTTGGTTGTATTAGAATCTGAAACCAAAACCCCCAGAAACAATGGCAGGAGAAGGTGTTAGGAGTAGGTTGGGACTGGCTCCATGGAGTCCTTCCCAAGGATCATTTCCCTTGGGCAGTGGATAAGACAGTGGCACATCAACCAGGGGTCTTGCTAAAATTCTTGTTCTTTTTCTATTTTTTTGTTTTTGTTTTTGTTTCCTGGTACCAAGGATTGAACTCCGCTACTTCCAGCTCTTTCCTTTAACAGTCATTAGTGACCTTGACTTGGATACCTCTCTGATCCTCATTTTCCCTGTCAATAAATAGAGGTGATAGTGCCTGTGGTAAAGGGGTTTAAGGAAGATTGAGGCTGGCTCAAAGTTGGGGCTCAATAAAGTCAATACATAAAAAAGTTGCAGCCCTACACCTCAATCATGGAAGCCCAGCAGCACCAGGAGCCACTCCTCTGGTTTGACCTGGCTGCCCATCAGGGTTTTAGGTCTACAGTAGTGATCAGCCTCTCAGCCTGTGGCAAAAGTGCCCAACTGCCAGACCCAGGGCTCTTGGAGTCTTGTTCCCTTGGCAACAAGTCTCACCATGGAGACCACAGCCCCATCCTTGCCCTCCTTGCAAGCTCCCTCTCTACTAACCATCCCTGTTCAAAGCCCAGGCCTACGAGCAGCATAGGTATTCAAGAGTGCTTTAATGAAGCACTCCTGTAGGGTGAGGAGTTCGAGGCACAGCCAACAGGAGCAGCCACGGAACCCCCCTGTTCTGAGTGTCCACTTTGTGCCTGGAACGGTCCTGAGGCATCTACTCCATGGTCTCCTTTTGGTTAAAGCTAGGCACTCATTCTGTTTAACATAAGCAGAAACCCAGGCTCAGGAGGCAGCAAGGACCATATCAAAGTCTTCAAGCTATTCATTCTCGGAATTTAAACTTGAATCCAGAGCTTCTGACTCAGGAATCTGTGTTTGTTTTCTGCAACCCCCTTCCCCCCAGTATGGCTAAGACAGCCTCCAACCACCATCTGGGGAGGGTTGGATAGTTGGGAGGACCTCCTCCATCCAGACCTCTGTGGCAGCACAAGCAGCAGCAACCAGAGGCCCTTTGAGCCCTGGGCTGGGCCCAGCAGCAGTGGAGGAACTGCACTATTTTAAGCCAGGGCCAGAGGGCCCCATGTGGGCACAGGGAGAGTGGCCTCGGGCCCTTGGCCAGCTTCCCGGAAGTCACCATGGCCTCCCTCCTCTCCTCCGAGCAGCTTTCTGAGGCAGTCACTTCCCCACAAACAGGAAGGAGGCTCTTAGGCCAAGACCTCCAGCTCCAGCTTCCTCCCCCTGCCTCCCCCTACCCAGTCCTCTGCTATATGGGGGAGTCCACCAGCTCCAGATCCCCATCCACATCTTTATCCAGGCCAACTCCTAGCAGGTGGGTGGGAGGGGCCCTGAATTTATGTTGCCCCAGCCACCCCAGTTCTCCCATGACAGGCCTCCACTTTCCTGAGTGGACCCTAAGAGCAAAGAGAAAGAGCTAAATGACTGAATGTAGCAGAAAGAGAGAAATTGGGACAATCTAAGAGAGATATGCAGGAATAAACAGTGACTGAGCCATCGTGACAGAGACAAAATTAGAGACAGTGAAGAGATACCAGAGCCACCTCTACAAGGGGCCGGGGCCAAGAGGGCAGGGACATGACTCTGAGTGGTGGCTCCTGACCACCCCCCAAGTACAGACACAGTCTCAGGGATGTGGGGGGCCCACCGGCTGCGTGGCTGAACAAGAATGTGGGGAGCAAGGCTGGGTCACCCCTTGAGGGCCAAGCGTGTGCACATGAGATAAGCTACCCAAGGAAGAGGGCCCCAGCTGTGCTGCACGCTCCAGGAGCCTGGCGGAGAGGCCCAAGGCTGGAGCCCAGCCCTGCCAGACGGCCCACACCTGCTTCTCCCCCTGGGGCTCCACCAGGCCTCATTCTAAAAGGTCTCAGGTCCCTTGGACCTGCCTTTGAGGGTGTGCAGGTTCTGAGCATGCCCGTTCATAGAAGAGCAAAGCAGGTCCCAGAAGCAGTGCCAGCCACAGAGAGGCTCTTGCCTGGCTCCTCACAGTCTTGGCGTGGGTGAGGGGACAAGGTGGGTGGAGGACACCATGCTGACCAAGCACAGCAGGGACAGCAGCAGGCTGTAGAGTCATGCTGGGAGGGGGTGCAGCTCTGCACTGGAATGTGAATTGTCCCCATGTGGTATTGTGTGCTCCTGTGTGAGTGTCCGTGGGATGTGTCCACATGCTTCCTTGAGCATGAGTCTGTGTAGAGGTGTATGTGTCCACATGTTGTGAGGAGCCCCACGCAGCCTCCACTGGGGCCCGTTCTCAGTCTAGAGAAGTAACCCCCAGAGGTATCTGGTATCTCCCACCCCCAACCAGGTGGTCCAGCCT